TATAAAACATTTAAACATTTAATATTTGCGAGTCTTTGGACTTTGATTTCAACTTTAATGTCAGTAAGTAGCCCTATAAATGAATAAACTTGAAAACTTTTGGAGTTTGAATAGCAATAAAAAAGCTCAAACTCCTATTCTTATCAAAGTATTCACAAATTATCTTCAAATCATTTCAACTATTTCTACCTTTTAATTACAAGTACCAGCAGGATTATTTTCAGTTGTTGATAATCCTGTTGAATTGGCCTATAGATATGATAAAATTTAACATGCTAAATTGATTATCACATTTTGCTTACCATTATTAATTACATTTGGTTGCACACTTTCTTGCTTTTTGTGGTATGGAATCTTTAAAAATAAAGATCGTTTAGATTTTTCTTAAGTAAGAAAAACATGGGGATATTTGTATAATGAATATAGGATTCATGCCTATTTCTGGGAAACACTAAAGATAATGCAAAAAATAAATAATTATTATTGTATTAGAATCAACTATGTAATTTATAAACTTTTAAATGAATAATCCCATGATTCATATTTCAATTTCTAGAATTAAAAATTATCTTTTAGTTTCTTCAATTGTTGCTACTTAAACAATTTGCAATTATTATTAAGAGATAGTTATTATTAATTCTTTTTCATCTATTTACTCTTAAAGAAATGTTGGATGATAAATTATTACATTATTTTGACATTAATTTGAAAATTTATATTATTCCTAATCACATGAATAGCAACTTCTGAAAAAGCTTTTAACTATCTATTTTTCTAAGCATTTAACTTAAATTTATAAATTTATAGAGGTTATTTATTTATTGAGAATTATTGTTTTTTATCCAATCTCTGAGATATTTTGAGCTATTTCATCACTTCTAATTCGAAATGAAGTCATGAGATCTACTTATGTATTTTAAATTTCAGTAATTCTAATTTAAGAGCATTCTAAAGGTGGAGCTTATTTATTATATAAAATATATACCAATGCATCCAATATATACCATTATCCATCCATCTCTGCAAATACTGCATTATGATTTTAAATCTCCATAGCATTCTTTACAATTATATGAGCATATAGCTACAAACAAAACAAATTTTGAAAGTCCCCAATCTGCTACATCATTTATATATTTTTCTGTTTTCATTAATAATTTTATTTAAGTAGATTTATGTAATGAACTTACATCTATATTAGTGATCCTAACTTTTTTTGCTTAACATTAACTATAAATAAAATTTTCAGAAGTAATTAGGATTGAATACTTCTCTTCATCATCAATCTCCAATTTAAATAATTCATTTGACCATTCACCTATAGTCCACAACTTGAATGATATTTAAACCCTAAAATGAGGAGATAAAAGATCTATGATTTTCTCTATTCTTTATCCTTTTTGTAGAATACCTATCCCACCTCCAATCTACATTAAATTGCATTCACTTGAAGTAAGTGGTATATTTCCGTTAATCATCCATCCTTCAGAATTAATTTAGCTATTCCAATATGATTCAACATTTATCCAAAAGTAGCATGATGTTTTATCTCTACAAAATACACAATCTTTAGGACATTTTAATATCTCTATTTTAAAATCTTTAAATCCCCATGATTCCTAAAATTATATAATTTTTATACATCTAGAGGACCTGAATTCAAAGTTGAAGTCATTATGACAACTAAAGTTTAGGAATTGTGTTTTGGTATCGTGATACTAAATGGGATATTTTATTCTAAATAAATTTCATGAATATGTCCACAAATTTATTGTCCATCTTCTAAGATAAATGATCTATAATTAATTTCACTATCAAATACTATTTTTACAATTTCATCATCCCAACTATCAACCCTAAATATCAATAAATATAATACTTCCATAAATCAAATGATATTCTTAGTGAATAATGAGGTGGAAGTGTAAATTTTGAAGAAATTAAGGTTTATGTTCCGAAAACTCCATATCCTCCAAATATCTATGTATCACCACATTGGGTAATTGGGCCACCATATACCTTATAGAAAAACCAACCTAATTTAAATATGATAAATAACCTGAATAATTTCAATTTGAACCTGTAAATTCATGAAAAATAGTTACCCATTCTTCCTATGCTTATACAAAGTATTAAATAAATAGTATAAATTTTTAAATAATTTTCATAATTTAATTATAAACTTCTCATAATTATTCGATTTTAGATTTCTTTTGGACGAATTTGTTATAATAAGATATTTATTAATAAATCAAATATCATTAATTGTCTGGATAAATTTATTTTATTATTGAATTATTATATTAAAACAAAAGAATAATTTTAGTAAAATAAATATGTCGTAAAATATCTTATAATGCACAAAAGTTCTCACTTTATGAATTATAAATTTTAATATTCTCTACATTATTGTTATAAATTAAGGAAGATAACTAATTTAGTAGGTATTCAAAGAATTTATAAATTTTAAGAATGTTTTTCTTAAAAAGTATTCATTCAATAAAAATGGAATTTATAAAATAGAATAAAAATCTTTAGTTAGAATTATGAGGAAAAAAAACCATATTAATATTTATATATATAATTGATAACAAGTATGTAAAATCAGTTTTTTCTATTTCTTTCATGACTATACTCATTCATTAATAACTATTGATGATTTGGAAACAGAAAGATAACCTAATATATATACTTAAAAGACAGATATTATTATTATATTTATCTCATTATTGTAATTTCATTAACATTAATAAATAAAATAATTTGTTATTAGCATCAGCAAAGGTTCTAACAAAGGTTTATATATTAAGTATGGGATTTCTTAAATAATTAGCATTATGAGGACACTTGATCAATCTATTATAGTATGGTCAAAATAATTATTAGCTTCTTCTAAATATATATAAACATACAAAACGAATACCATAATGATGTAGAAGTAGGCAAATGGGATATTTTTTATTATTATGAAGATACTAAGAATAATGAACCGATGTTTTTAACTTAAAACTCCTTATTAATTTAGAGATATTTATATTTTCTTTGACATATTATATCATTATATTTCACCCTCCAATTTAAATATATTCCAATCAAAAAAGTTACAAATCAAATTTAACAATATAATTTAAATCAAAATTTTAGAATTTAATGGTCAATAAAATTATTTAGAATTTAAGAAACTTAATTATTTTTAATTAATAAATCTCATAAATGTTCAAATAAGATCTGTAATTTATAGTTTCAGTTATAAATTCATTGATTAGCAAATTCATAATGAGATAATAGACATGGGATCAGATTCTTTCATCAAAAATCTATTAGTCT